AAAATATGTGTAAAACCACACATCTGATAAAGGGATAATATACAAAATGCAGAAGAAATTCATGTAACTCAAAAGCAAAAAAATTAATATCCTAGTTTAAAAAAAAAATGGGCAAAGGACCTGAATGACATTTTTTCAAAGACTACAAACATATGACTAACGGGGACATGGAAAGGTGCTCAACATCACTAAGCATCAGGGAAATGCAAACCTAAACCACAATGGGATACCACCTCCCACCTGTTAGAATGGCTGTCATCGAAAAGATAAGAGATAACAAATGCCAGCAAGGATGTGGTAAAAAGAGAATCATCGAATGCTGCTGGTGGGAATGTAAACTGGTGCAGCCACTATGGAAAACAGTATGGAGATTCCTTAAGAAATTAAAAATAGAGCTACCATATGATCCAGCAATCCCATTCCTGGGTATTTATCCAAAGAAAACGAAGTCACTATCTTGAGAGATATCTGTGCCCCCATGTTCGTTGCAGCATTATGCACACTAGCCAAGGCATGGACACAACTCAAGTGTCTGTCAATAGATGAAGAGATACAGAAAATGTGATATATAAAGATATAGGTATAAATATTAATATATATTATGGCACATTACTTACACTTAAAAAAAGAAAATCCTGCCATTTGTGACAACACGGCTGAACCTGGAGGGCATTATACTAAGTGAAATAAGCAAGACAGAGAAAGACAAATACTGCATGGTGCCACTTATATGAGGAATCTTAAAAAAAAGAAATCAAACTTGTAGAAACACGTGGTAGAAAAGTGGTTGCCAACACTTAGAGGGGTGAGGGGAATAGGTAAAAAGTTATTAAAAGGATGCAAACTTTCAGCTATAAGATGAATAATGTCTGAGGATCACATGTAAAACACGTGACTATGTGGTTGGTAAAACTGTACTGTATAATTGAAATTTGCTAAAAGAGTAGAACTTAAACACTCTCACTAACAATGAAAAAGTTAAATATGTGCGTTAACTATCTAGATGGGGGGGGGATTCTTTCACAATGGATACACGTATCACATCACCACAATGTACACTTAAAATATCCTACACTTTTGTCAATTAAGCTCTCAGTAGAACTGAAATTTTATTTTTAAAAAGGCACAAATAAATAATATTTAAATGAAAAAAGACAGATACTACAGATACATAGAATATTTTAAAATTCATAGTACGGTTAACTTTATGCCATTATTTTTTAGTGAAATGAAAATTTTCCTAGAAAAATCTAAATTGCCAAAATTAACTCAAGAAAAACAATAGGGAACTTAAAGAAAACAATTCCATTAGATAATTTGAATTGGTAGTGAAAAAAATATCTCTCTGTCTTAAACACACACATGGACAGGTACACACACGCAAAAATACACCAGAGGAAAAAAGACTTCAGGCCTTTGATAGGTAAGCTTTGCCAACCTTAAGGATCAGGTGATTCTTATTTTATACTATTCCATAGAAAGAGAAAAGAAGGAAAGCTTACCAACTGATTTTATGAAGGCAGTATAACTTTGATACCCAAACTGGATGAGGTCAATGCAAGAAATAATATAGGGACCCCGGCTGGCGTGGCTCAGTTACTGAGCATCGACCTAGGATCCAGACGATCAGGGTTCGATTCCCAGTCAGGGCACATGCCTGGGTTTCGGGCTCAACCCCCAGTCGGGGGCGTGCAGGAGGCAGCTGATCAATGACACTCTCATCACTGATGTTTCTCTCTCTCTCTATCCCTCTCCTTTCCTCTCTATAAAATCAATAAAGATATATTTAAAAAATAAATAATAATAATATAGCGAGATCAATCTCAGAAACATAGAGGCAAACATTCTAAGTAACAGCAGTATTTTTTAAAATTCATCATGATCAAGGAGGAATGTGAGGAAGATTAAATATTAGAAAAATCTAGTAATATAATTCACCATGGTAACAGATTAAAAGAGAAAAACCCTATGATCATCTCAATATATGCCAAAATGAAAAAAAAATCATTTAATATAATTCAACATTAATGATAAGAGAAAAAAACCTCTGGGCAGGGTAGAAGTAGAAGAGAATATTCTGAACCTGATTGTTGTTTTCAACCAAAACCCCAGAGCAAACAATATTCTTAATAGAGAAACTTTAGAAGCATTCTATTTCTCCATTACAAGCAGGGACAGTTGAACACTGTCCTTGAGGCCCTAGCACATGCGATAAGACAAAGAATGGCCTACAGGAGGGGTGCCAGTCAGGAGAGCATGTGACCGCAAATATCAGCAACCCTAACCACCGATGGCTTAAAATAAGGAGGTTCGTTTGTCTCACACATAAGCAGTCGGGAAGTAGGCGGCCTAGGGCTGGTGGTGCTGCTGAACAGAGTTGTTCAGGGCTCTCTTTCTGCCTCAGCCCTTAGCTTGCTAGTGTTCATCCTGGTGCTTGTCACCTCTTGGCTCTAAGAGGTCTCTTGTAGACCTGGGCCTTACTGTACACATTGCAGGCAGGAAGAGGGGGACATCGTGGACACCCTGGACGAACCTCCCCTTACAACTCACTGGTCACAGGGCCACTGTTAGCTACAAGAAAGGCTGGAAAAGTGAATGTCCAGGGACAGGGTTAGGGTTAGGATTTGGGACATACTTACACTATATACTTAGTATGGTAAGTTATGCTTAGTCTTAGCCATTCATGAAAATTCTGTTCTTCATTGGATATTAAATATATTTAACACTCAGGGCATACTTATACTAAAATGTTATTTGTTATTTACCTAAAATTCAATTTAACTATGTGTCATTTAAAGAAATTTTTGGCTAAACTGGCAACCCTAATAGCTGGGCATATTGTTACCCTGAAAATAAATGGGGTTCTAAAATCAGCAAGGAAGAAAGGGGTGGCTACTTGACAGGCACATATCAATAGCTGCCACAGAAGCATACAAGCTCAACCAGAAAGACAAGTTTTTTCCTCCTGACATTAACTCTGCCAAAATTTATCATACAGACTTTTCCAGAAGGGAAGTTGAGTAGCAAAATTGTAAGTACCTTAGGATACAGTTTTGCTGAAGGCGCAGACACATTCTTCAAATGCTTGTGTCCCATAAAATCCACGGCTTCATGAAGTTATAATTTAGTGACAGAATTTCTGCAGGTGACTAAGAAAAACTTCAAAAACCTTTTAGAGATATTATTAACTGTGGATTATCCATGTGTAATTACAAAGTTTTCAGATCCTTATCCTACCAAATTTTGTTAACACCTTTTAAAATTATGCCAGCTTGAAAACTTGTCAGCTGCTATTCTGTCTCAGTAAGGGAATTTAAATTTCACTTGGCTTCGAGAACCTGAAACTTAGAAAGTGAACTGAGACTGCTGATAGAGGAATAACAAGCTCTTTGGTTAAATCTGTGGATTCAGAGCAGTTTGGGTGCAGGGTGTAGACTGACCTTCAGAAGTGGGAGGGCCTTGCCCTGGCCAGTGTGGCTCAGTCAGTTGGCTGTCATCCCATGCACCGGAAGGTCGCCGATTCGATTCCCAGTCAGGGCACATGCCCAGGTTGCAGGCTCAATCCCCAGTAGGCAGCCAATAGATGTTCCTCTCTCACATGGATGTTCTCTCTCTCTCCTTTCCTTCTCCCCTCTCTAAAAAAAGAAAAATCAATAACAAAAAAGAAGNTGCCAATTCAATTCCCAGTCAGGGCACATGCCCAGGTTGCAGGCTCAATCCCCAGTAGGCAGCCAATAGATGTTCCTCTCTCACATGGATGTTCTCTCTCTCTCCTTTCCTTCTTCCCTCTCTAAAAAAAGAAAAATCAATAACAAAAAAGAAGTGGGAAGGCCTAGTCCAAGTGGACCATAGGGCAGAAAAGCACAGAGGTCAAAGCTAAAACCTGTAGGCTTACGATGGAGTCTTCATGCACTATTGCCAAGTGCCCAGATGCAGAGAAGGTGATGGTAGGCAGGCTCACTGGAAGCCAAGAAAACCAGAAAAGTGGTAAAACCTGGTTGGTCCAATGCAACAAACAAATCCCCTTTGTGGAATTGATTTTTAGTGATGAGACTCTGGAATCCCAGCTACTTTTTAAGAGATGGCTGCAGATAGTCCTTGCAGCCCGCTTGAGGCAATGCGAGAGAGCTGAGTCCTCGAGGTGTGGACTCTAAATTGTACGCTGATGTGCTGTATTTGATGAACAACTGTCAATTCTTTCTAAGACTGTTGCTAAAAACTGACAGAAAAGGGGTGGAGTAAGGAAGCGAGTTGAAGGAAGCCTCACTTCTGTGATTCAATTAACTATTTAAATAAGTGTTTTGTTGTCTTCCTTGGAAAGAGTAGTTGTAAGGACTTTTTCCCCCTGGCGATGTCAGACTTGGGCTGTTTGGAAAGGGCAGTTGGGTTTGCTGCCAGACGGCAGGAGGGATGTGGTTTCTCTCCTCAGAATCGTCTAGCACGCGGGCCTACATGCTGCACATGAACTACATGCTATGGACTAGATATGTTCTCCAAAGGTGGCTGCTTACAGATTTAGTTAATTTCAAAAATAATATTTACTGTGTTTTCACTTGTATCATTTCCCCAAGCCATTTAAATTCTTTAGAATCATTTTTTAATGACTACACAATAGAATAGCTCATCATATGTAGTGATATTAATTTACCTTTTAAATGAACTTGGCTATTTAAAGAAGTCTCACAGTGAAACATTTTATAAGACAAATAGTACGGCTCTCCAATTAGCCTGCTTTTAAATTCTGCCTCTTCACCTCGGCAGTTTGCAGAAGGTGAGCTGACCTTACATTCTGATGGAACCGTTGTCCTCCCGTGCTTTTTGCCTTCCTTCTGAAGTCAATGATCACAAATGTTTCATTGAATTGATACAGGAAAGACTGATAGTGAACAATCAATGGGTGACAGAGCCATTTGACTTTCGAGGTGCAGACCAATAGCATTAGCCCAAGGACTCGGCCTCTCTTTCTGAAAGAGGTAACTTTGCACCACCTCCACCCACAGCCCTGTTCGCTACAACTCAGAAGCCACAGCCGATTCCAGAAGGGAAGACCTCACCCAAGAAACAAAGAGCAAAGGTATTCATATTCCTAGCTAAGAGGAGAAAACTGTTCTTATCTATAATATTCTCAGCGAGATATTTGGTAACACACACATGTTATAGAATTATACCTTTCACATAGCAATAAATGCTATTTCAGCTGTTTCTGGGGTGCATTTGATTTTTACAAGGCGGGGGATTGTTATACAAGTAAACTCCGCTGTGACATTATCAGTCATGTCGAATTACTGTGAGATCAACTACTGCCAGCTGGTTAAGAGTCCAGGAGTCCGGAACACAATAGCTGTTGCTTTACATCCAAATTTGTGTTGCATAGTGTATGTTTTGCTGTATTGCACTTGTCTTTAAGCCAAGGATAAAAAGGCAAGCTCTCCGATTTTGCATGGATACCTTAATGAGGAAGGGGGGGAATTTTATAGTCTCTAACATTGGGACCTCACAGTACAACATATTCATCCTCACGGAGATTCGCCTGGTTAAAGGTGCTGGGCTTCTGGAGCTTGCTTTCTTATGTTTATGACCACAGACAGACTTGTGATAATTGAAACTTTTCACCATAGAAAGGAGACAGCTGGCAGTGTCTTTTTCTGGGCTTACCCTATGTGGTCAGGTTTACAGCTGCTCCCATTTTTAAAAAAAAGAAAAGAAAAGAGAAATTGAGTAGTGTCACAGAAGAAATTAATCCTACTGTGTCCACATAGTAGACTGTTACCTGTTCTTCCCAGACCTTCATCCTTTAACGCTCAAATCCTCCTCAAGATGTTTTCACTGCATTCGCAGCGCTGGTGGGCTGTTTCCTCGTAGGAGATTTCCAAGCTGTTTATGTAGCAGCATGTCATGTGACACCCCAGTTGCCATGGCAAATATTTGTGTTTCATGAAAAATGTTGGTTAAAAAAAAAATCAATGTAAATGGCCAAATCCCAAGACAGACAGGCCTTCAGGCTAGCGTTTGGCCTGCGCCATTGTTGTTTCAAATTCAGCTGTTTAACAGGCTGTGCGAAGGCCACGGGCTAATGCGCGGAATGGGAACGGGCGGGGGCACCTGTTTTGATTCTCACCGTGTTCTAGCTCTCAGGTCCCCAGGTTTACAGAGAACAGATCTACAGGTAACACAGAGATGACCAGGTTTTAAGCAGTAAGTTTAAAGAATTAAAAGCTTAAAATATTTTTAAATAATGACATTTTCTGAGTGCTAATTAAGCCCGCCTTTCATTTTCTATTGACTTCGCGAAGCTTTTTTCCTACATCTAGAAGCAGTAATAGTTAAAGATTCCTTCGTGTGGTCCCAGATTGGTACATTTCTGAACTGACTCTTCAATAGTAAATGTAATTATTCATACACTCTGTGAAAAGTGCCCTAGCATGGACGTTAAAAGGCTAAGAGAAAGACGTCATGACAGAGCTGGAACAGACCTTGGACCAGTCCCCACCACTGGGCAGTGTGGTGCCACACGGAGAAGCCCTTTCTTGTAAATATTTCTCCACGGGTCCCCTAGAAGTAGGGCTGGGCATCTGGTTATAGTTGTTTTCGTAAATATTTACTTTGTCAAACTCTTTCTTCAAAGCAAACAGGGCCTTTGGCAAGCAGAGCGTCATTGTCTGGGGTGGGAAAGGTCTTTCTAATTATTAGCTCCTGCCTGCTCGGAAAGAGGGAACAGGCTGGCCCAGCGGGGGAAGCTGGGGGAGTGGGGGGGGGTAGGCGGAGGCAGACTGTGCCTTCTATTTGTTTTGTAAAATTGCTGATGAGAGTCATTTTGATTTCAACTGTGTCTCATTATTCATTGTAGGGGAAAGGCAAAAGGTCAAGAGGACCTCAGGAGAAGAAGATCTGTAATTTGTGTGACTAGTTGAAATTTGGGGTCTGTCACCTGATGTCCCTTCCTCTTGCTGCAGGGCAGAAATATGGGAGGCAGGTTTGACAGCTGGAGATGGTAGCAAAAGTTCTTTTACTCTTCTTTTATGAAAGAAATTACATCATGCTTTCAGGGGGAAAAATGGTTCATTTAAAGTAGAAAAAAAAAATTTCCCTCTATTGGGACTGAATTACTTCTCAGGCTTCAGTCCAAAAATGCTATTTAGCATACTCAACATTTGGCTGAGTCACATCAGTATTCAACCTTAATCTAAGATCTTCATCTTTTAAAAGTGCACTTAACATGAAATAAAACGTAAAAAAGCAAAACCAAAAAAACACACCAGTTGTCCGCCAGCATCTGTACGCATGTGTGAGTACACACGCACTTGTAAGGGTGCACACACACTGCGTATATGATGTAATAGGTAAGGGTAAGGGATTCATAGCTAAACTAAGTAAAACAAATAGGTAACAACTTGGAAAAATGAAACAGTCCCTACAATACAACAAGTACATGCCAGCCAGGAACATTCCACGGGGCCATGCGTGGGTAATGAAAGTCCTTGAAGCAGCAAAGAGCTGGATTCTCTTCTTACTAACGGGAACTTTGAGCAAGTCACCCAGCTTCTGCATGGCTCCCTCTCCTCCTCTGACAGGCGGGGATAACACAGCCTTTCCCCCGGGGTTGCTGTGAGGGTCCGAGGAGCTAATGTCACGGGTGAAAGTGCTCTAGAACTATAAAGCACTTCTCACCATAATTGGTTGGTCTATTTTTAAGAGCATCTTCTAGGCCTCCCTTTCTCAGGGATCTTATCAGTAAGAATTTCAGAGGGAGCTTAGTCACCCCTTTTCAAGGGAAAAAAAAGCCCACCTTTGGGGTCTCCTTATAACCCTGCAGAGCTCTAAGTGAGCAGCATTTACAGCAATGATTGCACAGTCCTGAACCTAGACAAATTGCTTCTAGATAAACTAATCAATGCAATTAGATCCTTCCTCTAGCTCCCCTTGACTTCTTGCTGTGAGGAAATTGTGAGCTTGCTTCTGCATTTAAAACTAGGATGTGCTTTAGGAATACTAAGGGGTTATTTATCTGGAATATTTATAACAGCTAATGTTGATTGAGCGTGTTCTTACAGCATTGCACTAAGCACCTTCCATACCCACTGAATGCTCACAGCAGCCACCAAACCTTTGTGCTGTCATTGTCCCCAGGCCCACACAGCTGATAAAGGGCTACAGACAATCCATACGACAGAGGGAAGTTCCAGAATGTGTGGCCTCTCCATACACCAGGTTATCAACTCTTCCCACACAATTAGGGCACTGTCCCTAACGCTTTACATGGAGCATCTCGTTTTCACAACATCTCTGTGCAGTAGGTACTATTATTATTCCCATCCTACTGGAGGGCCTGGATGCAGAGAGGTGAAGGTCATCCAACTGGTAAGTGACAGAGCCCGACTACAAAACTGGACTGTGTGGCTGCCAGAGCCCCAAAGCATTAGCAGTTCTTAAAAATCGTTTTTATGAAATATTCCTAAAAGATATTATATTTCTGCCGTCCTAATGTAATTTAACATTTCCTCCATCCAATATTATGTATATATATATATAACCAATTTCTGGTGTGTTTTTTAATTTGTTTCCCTCAATATCAGAACAGTGGTTGTCACCTATGCTATCATATCTTCTTTTTTTGGCTCTGACTTTTCTGTCTTCTAGATCAGTTAGCCAAATAACCAAAACTCAAGAAGTTGCATGATAAATCTGAGTCAGTCAGGCTCTGCACAGGGACCCAAGGAATAAAATAATAAACTGTAGTAGAGTTTGTAGTAATTTCGAGACATCTGAGGTCTTTATTTTCAGGAATCTAGTTCAAAGGCTTGAAGTTGCTGAAAGTGCCTCTCAGCAAATAAATCTTTTTATTATCTCAAGGCAGTCATGTTTACAACTATGTTAAGATCCACTTAATTTCAATTGACATTTTGATAATAAAAGTATATTTTGTGGGTAAAACAAGCAAACAAACAAATATATTAGTGGACATTAGGGTCTAGGTTAAATTCATGAGTGTGTTTACTTCTGGGAATGGGCTAAAAAGGATTATAGAGAGGATGTCAATTGCACCTAATGTGTTGTTTCTTTTATTTAAATACATATGTAAATATATAAATAATGTAAATACATTTAAATTTTATATTATAAATAATTATAAATATATTAAATGTACCTATTTTTTAAATATTAAAATTTTATATATATTTGTCTTCTTTGCTTAAAACAGATATATATATATTATATATGATATATATTCTGTATTATCTAACATTAGGACCTCATAGTACAACACCGTTCAACCTTGTGGAGATTCTTCTGGTTTAAAGGTGCTGGACTCTGTAGCTCACATTCTTATATTTATGAGCCACAGAGATATACACGTATCTGGAACAAAGTCGACAAAACATTAACATGCATCCGTAGTACTTTTTCTATATTAACCCCTAGACTCTTCTGTATTTTTTTCAAAACATTTTCCAAATAAAAGAAGAAAAAACAAAAGAAAATCCTATTTCCTAAACCATACCTCTGCTGTAAAATTCATTTCCTTCAGTGTACAAAAAATAAGTTTGAGCGATTACATTTTAATGTCAAATTTAGGGTCTTCTCTTAGTCATTTTGTCATATTGTTTGTTTCTTTAGTATTTTCCAAACATATATTCTTAAACCTCTTGTTAAAAAACTGTGATTATTTTATAGGTAAGTCAGCTGAATCTTTTAATCAAGCAACATGTGTGACATTGAACACATCACAGAGAGAGAGAGAGAGAGAAAGAGAGAGAGAGAGAGAGAGAGAGAGAGAGAGAGAGACCAACTCTAGTCCCATTTCCCTCTGTGTAAAGAGGAGACTGGACCAGCTCAGGGTTTTGAAGGAGCTCCCACACCCCCTCCAAGGGCCCCCCAAGCCCCCAGGGTTGGGAGAGGAGCAGACTTCCCAGCAGATGGGCCCCTCACACCCACACATGGGTGTCAACTGTTTCACCTCCTTACCATCAAATTTTATTGTTTTTGAACAAAGAGTTTTAAGCCTAAAAATATAGACTTTGAAAACCACCAGGTGAGGCCTGGCAGCAGTTTTGGGTTGAATATGCCCAAGCCCGTGGAGGAATAAGCCTGCTTCTTGAAGAGCGCAGAGTGCTTCCCCGGTGGATTTGTGATTCCAGAACAATCCAGTCTCCTTTCTTGTCTTGCCCTAAAGTGTTCAAGAAAATGAGGTCAGACTTGGACAAGACTTAGAGCTCCTCAATCTGGAGATAGAAGATGAGATTTTTTTTTAAAAGTCCAAGGCTATTTTTTTCTCTTTAGACTCACTTTCCCTCATGAAACCTCATTTAATTTATCATCTTAAAGTAAGAAGAGGAAAACAAATCTGAAAAACAAAAGAAAAACTGTGGGATCTCTTAAAACCATTTTCCATTTTTTCCAATTTGTTAGAAATGGCCACCCATGAATATTTGACATGAAACTTTTGAATTAAGATTATATAGTTTTATTTGCAAAATATTTCTTCTTGCATGAAGGAATTGACAAGAAAAAAATTATAAAATTGTTTTTATTTCTCTTCATAGCATCCCTAACTGTACATTTTATTACATGTAATTAACAGTTTTACTTATTTACACCAGAAAAAAAAGGTTAAATCATCAGTAAGCCACAAAATAAAATCCTTACATTTTTAATTTGTATTTTTTTAATTTATCAAATTAGGACCTAATTACTCATAGAAAATTTGGAAAGTTCAGAAAGGAGGAAAAGCGTGCCAAAGTATGCAAGGAATTTTTCTCTAAAATACCACATTATTTAAGCATTTGCCACGTCCCTTGGTTGGTATCATACTACACATTCAACTGTGATTTTACTCTTTTCACCTAAGAGTCCATCAAAGCCTTTACATATATGATTTAAAACTCTTCATAACACATTGTAGTGACCATGTAATAATCTGTCTTAAAGATATACCATCACTTTCTTAGTCACTATCCTGTTGTTTGACATTAAATTATCAATGTCGAATTATTATTATTAATAATAAATAATGACATAATTTCCAGTTTTCCTCTGTTGTAAATAAAACTGCCATGAGCATCTTTCATATTTGTACGTAGATCTTTATCTTTAGGCTAAACCTTAGTGGTAGAACTCCTTGGTCAAAGGCTATGCCCATTTTCAGATGCAAGAGGCCGAGCTTTCTGTTAGTGCTCCAAAACTCCAGCCAGGAGTTTGCAGATAACTTGCCTGGTCCTAGGACAGCTTTGCCACAGACCCGGCCCGAGTGGCTGTGGGCCTGAGCTCTAGTATCCACTCTTCATTCATTCACGGCCTGAGCTTTACCGTGCGCGGCAGTGCACTGGGTAGTGGGCATTAGCAGTGACCAAAACAAGCCAAGGCTTGGCCCCTGTGGGACTTACATTCTAGTGGGGGAGGCAGAAAATAGACAGAACTATTGTCACAGGTAGTGACAAGCGCTAAGAATGGAAATAAAGAGCCTGTATGTAAGCCTCGAGGGTGTGAAGAGGTGGGTATGTAAGGATTCCGCAAGTGTTCTTTAGTGATCTGTGATCAACGGACTTGCCATACACACAATTTTCCTCGGGATGACTGTAATGTAAAGTTTTACTTTATCGTGATGATAGAGGTCCCTTTCGAAGCTCCCTCCTTCTCCTTTACCGAAGGAAAATGATGCTGTGACTCTTCTCAGGAAACAAAGTCCAGGCTGCTTTTGATGCCCATCCTGTCCAATTCCCTGTTCTTCCCCCCAGCAGGTTCCTCCCATCAATCAAAATTGTCCCAAATGGTCCTTAACTATGTCACATTCTCTCAGAGAATATTAGCAGGGTAGCAGACAAGGGGAAGTCAATGCAGCAGTAAAAAGAAATGTTTCTCTAGAAAAGGAAATTTCACATTTGACTGAAAATATACTCCCTGTATTTAAAAAACTCTTCCTGATTTTGTTCTGTTTGATCTTCAGTCAGAATTGGATCCATTGCGTGTTTTTGTTCCATAAGTTCATCCGGCGGGGGGGGCCCTCCTCAGGAAGTGTTTCAGGAAGACTCGTTTGAGAAAAGATGCCTTTCAAAGCAACTGCAGAAATTATCCCTAAAAAATTGCTGCTGATCTGAGTGGTCTGTACACTCAATTCTCTTCCTTTGTATGTCTCCACTCAGTGAGTTCTCTAGTTTTGCCATTTATTCTCTTTATAAAGGTTAAGGGCGCTGACTCTCACTTTTCATGGACACTTAAGGCTTATGCAGTTTCTAGGTCCTACAGACTGAGAACCGTTTTGTTGATTTGCAGACCCTAAAATACTGGAATATCACTCTTTGGGGGTTCTCCACCCATGATCATCTTTACAGCTATTCCTTTATCGTGGTTTGTAAGTTGCAAGAAAGAGCTTCCAATTTAAAACGTAGAAAGAGAATAAAAATCCCTGGCTCTTTTACATGGTACATGAAGGGACATTGCCTTTGCCTTGATGGTTTGACTAGCACCAGGAGTTTATTAAACAGCAGATACTCCCGGAGGGGTGACATTTTAAGTCAAAAGGACATAGGGTGTCAAAATTAGAAGCACCCTGAGTGATCCTCCAATGGAAACTGAAACTCTCACGGAAGAAGTGACTTCCCAAGGCCACAGCAGGAGGTGTTGACAGACTAGGTCCCAGGTCTTCTCACTTCACATCCATCACTTTTCTACCACACCATGGTTCATTAGCATGTTCATAGTTGATAGGGCTAGTTTAACAGATTGCTTTCCAAATAAGAAAGAAATAACAGGCCAAGGCCAGGTTGACTGTGATGTAGGAGTTGACAAAAGGAAGGCTGAGCAAGGAGAGCACAGCTTGGTAGGGGCTATGTGGGAAGTTCTTGACAATTAGGGCTGTGGGAGTTGGTGGTATGGGGGTAGGGAATAACAGCTAGCTCTGTGATTTTGGGCAAGTCACTTGACCTCTCTGAGCCTCAGTTTCCTTATCTATGGTAATAAACATACAGGCTGAAATGAGAAAGATTCTTTACACGTATTATGATCATCACTGCAACTCTATGGGGAACCTCTCATTTTTACAGATAAGAAACACTTAGGTTCAGAGAGGATGTTGTCTTAGTCGGCTCAGGCTACCATAACAAAATGCCATAGACTGGGTATAGCCTAAACAACAAACATTTACCTCTCAGTTCTGGAGGCCAGTGCTGGTTGGTGAGAGCACTCTTCCTGGCTTGCAAATGGCTGCCTTCTTGCTAGAGAGAGATCATCTCTCTTTTGTCTTTTCTTATAAGGACACTAATCTCATCATGAAGCCTCCATCCTTATGAACTAATTACCTCTCAAAGGTCCCACCTCCAAATACCAGCACCCTGAGGACTGGGGCTTCAACATATGAATTTTGTGGGGACACAAACCATTCAGTCCATGGTAGATTGTAATTTGCCCAAGACGACGTAACAGATAGAGAGTGTAGACTTGACTTCGGGTAAGACCTCAGGGCCAAGGCTCATTTCCCTGGGTCCATAATAGTCTATCGAGTAAAAGGTGGGGCCAGTGACCTTTAAGATCCCTCATGCTTCAAAATTCAGGACTGTGATTATGCTGAGTCCCTGAATCCTGTTTAGGCAGCTAATCTCTCTAAATATTGTATATATCTTTCTAACATCTTAACAAACTGAGGTCTTGACATCTGTTCTGTACGAAGTTTAGCACGTTGTGGATCCTCAACAAATATTAAAGAGCAGGCCTGATAGATGGTATCCCTGGTCTTCAGGGAATGATGAAGACTCATCTCTGAGGGTCACTCCACTCATACTCTGAACTAGGCTCTCACTTAGAGCCATGATGGCCGGGAGGACTCTTCTTCACACAGTGGAGTTGCCTGGGCTAATTATTAATGGGTATGTTTGGGTGTTTGAGAAATTAAACATCAGCTTATGGATTCCAAAGTAATTTAGTCTATCCTTCTAGGCAAATCATTCTCTAAAGATATTATCCATGTTGGATTACCCCAATACTTGACCATCTGCCCCCAGGAGATCTTGGTTATATCTAATTTAGAGATCCTTGTCTCCGGTTTAATCCTACATCCACATGCTGTCCACATGTATGAAAAGGAAATTTTTCATAAAGACATTCAGCTTAGAAATACATGCCTTTTTTCCTAGAATTTTTCTTCATGACACTTATTTCTAAATTTTAGAAGGTGATAGCGGCCCTGCCTTTTTTGTTTCACATCTGTGACTTACACACGTAGGCATCATCCTGCTTCCTGCTATTTGTTTTAGAATTGGAATTTTCCCTAAATAACTGCTGCAGAAACTCTCAAAGTTACCTCATTAGTGATTATACCTTGAGCATTTCCCAGCTAGTTGACTCTCTTAGAGCAGAATGCTAATAATTAAGCCATGACTACAGGCTTGGGCTCTGTGTGGGCCAGAGAGCCATCCCTACTAGAAGGAAACAATGTGGCCATTGAATCGGTGGCATTACGTTGGGAGTACAGCCCATCTTAAACCAAAAGGGAAGGAGGGAGGGAG